GGGGCGCCCTGCCGCTGCTGTGACCTCAGAGCCCCTGGCCCTGCTCGGCCCTGACGTCAGCCTCCTCCCGCCCCCGCCCCGCTGCTCTTCAAATGCCCCCCAGCTCCCCGGCCACAGAGAGAGTCCACGGCCAGCAGGAAGCCGGACACGGAGAGACCCGGCCGGACCCTTAGCGATGACACAGGTGTGTGTGTGTGTGTAGGAGTGAGAGAGTGTTTGTGTAGGAGTGTGTGTGTAGGAGTGAATACGTGTGTAAGTGTATGTGTGTATTAGTGAATGTGTGTGAGACTGTGAGTGTGTGTGTGAGAGAGTGTATGAGTGCATATATGAGAGAATGTGTGTGTAGGAGAGAATGTCTAGGAGTATGTGTATGAGTGAATGTGTGTGTAGGAGTGAGAGAGTGTGTAGGAGTGAATGTGTGTGAGAGAGAAGTGTGTGTATGAGTGAATGTGTGTGAGAGTGTGTGTATAAGTGTGTGTATGAGTGAAAGTGTGTGAGGGAAGTGTGTGAGTGCGCGTGTGTAGGAGTGTGTATATGAGTGAATGTGTGTATGAGAGTGTGTGTGTGTGCATGAGTGAATTGTGTAAGAGAATTGTGTGTGTATATGAATGAATGTGTGTGAAAATGTGTGTGAGTGTGTATATAATTGTGCATGAGTGGGTGGGTGAATGTGTATAAGTGAATGTGTGTGAGTGTGTGTGTGTGCTTAGACCACAGAGAACCACTGCCATGTGTGTGAGCACATGTGCCAGAGGCGATGTGTGTATGTGATTATCCCCATGTGAGCGATTTCACGTGTATATTCGTGAGTATAAGGAGCCCTGGTAGTGCAATGGTTAAGCGCTCGGCTCGCGGGAGGAAGAGCTGGTGGCCGCCCCATAGAGATGACAGTCTAGCAAACCCCACGGGGCAGCTCTGGTCTGTCCCATGGGACTTGAAGTCAGAATCGACCCAATGGCATCTGGCCGCAGCCATGTGTGTGACAGCGGCCATGCGTGTGGGACCATGAGTACATGATGAGGCTGTGTGCCACCTGTGGGTGTGGGCGGCCGTGGAGAGGACATGTACATGCATGTGACATGTCCCTGTTTGTAACGTGCTTATCTTGCTGTACATCCGTGCACCTCTGTATGCGGGGGAGGGGGGAGCCTGTGACACACGGATCTCAATCTGTATTTAATGTGTTCAGTGCATATGAAGTTGAACCACAAGAAATCACTGATACTCAGCCACATTTGAACAGTGAGAATCGCAATTCATATGGTTCCTGACTCTTAGCTCTGATTTCTTCTCAAACTCTCCTTGTCTGTCCCATCCCCCTGAACCCAGAAGTGGGTGTTTGTGTGTTCTTGCCCCTTCCTGCTGGAGGGTGTGTGTCAGAGTGTGTCGGCAGGTGCGCCTGTGAGGGTGCACGTGGAGGTCCCTGCACTTGGTCTGAAGCTGGGTGTCTGTTAGTCATTCTCAAGAAGTGGCTGATTTCCTACGTGGACACACCCTGTCACTTGTCCTGTGTGAGCAGATGGGTCCTGGGGCCTGCTGTGTGGGTGGGTGTGCATGTCCCCAGCCGATACGTGCTTGTTTGTCCGTGTTGCCGGGACTTCAACCCTGTGGACCCTCAGTATGAATTAGGCTACCTCCGGGAACTCAGGCAGGGCGAGGTAAGGAAGATTCTAGAAGCAATGAGAAGAACTGTTGATACTGAGCAGTTGCCAGTAGCAGGTCCTCACTATCACACCCTGCCTCAGCACTGTCCCATGGAAACGCAGTGCAAACCCCACGGATGATGTAAAATCGTCTGGTGGCTACGTAACTAAGTGGAAAAAGGAGCAAGCCAACTTAATTTTAATATTTTATTGAATCTAAGGGCACAGAGCCTGTGGGTGGTGCAAGTGGCTGACATGCTTCCATGCTAAGGCTGGAAACGTAAGGTGACCTGGAGGTGTCTAGGAAGAAAGGCCTGGTAATCGGCTTCTGAAAAATCAGCCTTGGAAACCCAATGGAGCCTGGTTCTGCTCTGAGACACGGGGTGGGGGGTGGGGTTCACTCGCCTCACTGGGAACTGGTGGCCACTCAGCATAACAAAACCAAAACAAACCGGTGGCGCTTGGCTGCTGAGGGCCTGACGGTTTGCATCACCAGGAACGCCCCAAACCAGTCTATTCCAACGCAGGGCGAAGCCACGTGTTTCAGAATAAAACTGCACGTAGGGTTTTCAATGGCAGTCACCTTCTGGAGGTAGATCAGCAGCCCTTGCTTCTGAGTTGCCTTTGGGTGGGTTGGAGCTACCAGTCTTTCAGTCGGAGTAGCCCAGGGCTTAACCTGCCACTCAGGGACTCCCCCAGCGTCACAGGGCTCCACAGGCTTTTCTGCCAAAGGCCAGCTAGCAAGCGTTTGTGGTTTTGTGGGCCATCAGGTCTCTGTTGCAGCCATTCAGCTTTGATGTTGAAGTGTGGAAACAGCCATGGACAGCAAGGGTCATAAAGGAGCATGGGCGTGTGCCAGTAAAGCTGCATTAACCAAAGCAAATCATTGCAGTTGAGTCAATTCTGACTCATAGTGACCCTCCTTGGGTTTCCAAGGCGATATCTCTATGGAAGTAGATTGCCCAACCTTCCTTCCGAGGAGTGGCTGGTGGGTTTGAACC